TATTATTATTATTATAAACAGATTCTGACAGCCTTAACTCGAAATCGAATCCTAGAATTTGTTTTAAATTTGCTGTCCATAAAGCCAAAACCCCTCTAGTGTTTTCGCATTTCGCTGAGTTTGAATTGATTATTTACAACGGACGCAAGAATTTTTTTAAAAACGTACATTTTGCATCAGCGATTTCGCCGTTACATAGTAATTTATGGAAGGGTAATAGTTTTCGTATGCCATTGTTTAATTGTACAATTGTGTATATCAACACACTTTATATGCGTAATGACACAATGGCATTTCATCATGTGTTATGGTATATTGAATGGGATTCCGCTCAATAAAAATGTTGGAAATGATAGAGYTATGGTAAAAACGATGGTATATATGAAACCTTTAATCCCCTTATTGTCCAATTAAACAATAGCATACGACAACAAATACCATTRCATAGATTGCGATATAACGGCGAAATCGCTRATGCAAAATGTACGTTTTTAAAAAATTTATTGCGTCCGTTGTAAATAATCAATTCAAAATCAGAGAGATGCGAAAACACTAGAAGGGCTTTGGCTCTATGGACAAGAAATTTAAAGCAAATTCTAGGATTCGATTTCGAGTGAAGACAGTMAGAGTCTGTTTGTATCAAAAAAGCTACCATGCACTAAAGACATAGCTTTTGCTCCATACCATTAACTCCCTAACGAATAGCGCTGCGCGTGAGTTCTAAAAATAGATTGCATTCCACAKGACCCCCCGCATGACTCRGACAAACACGAGCGACAGTTCACAGTCATTGTATGCAGAAGAGAGCGTGTTTATAGATRTTTCTGTTGAAATCTTGGCTTTTTGCTTCAAATATGGTCAGTACAAAGCATTGTTGTTGGGGGACATGCAATAGTGATTCARGATACCCCGAAAGATTACCAAAATCATTTCAAGATATGGCTAAAGCGGGCAAAAAAATATTCTTACCGTTCCCGAAGCCATCACAAGGCATGGAGCGTTGTCAGCGTTGGATTAATGCTTGTTCGCGTATTGAAGGCCAATTTGACGGCTAAAGAAATGAACGATCGAGCAAGAAGATCTAAAAGAAAGGCTCCAACACAAAGGCCCGAACCGACTGATTCTAAGTCCGTAAAATATACAGAAAACAACGATGAAACATAAGAAGCTGATGTTTCAAATGATTATGAGGATAATAATCTAGTAGAAGTCGAAGTGGATAATAACAAGAGCACTCAAACGCCGTTTGGAAAGATCGAGTTGTCATCTAAAATAGAAACAATGAGTTTGAGGAACGAAGTGGCTACAGACAAGGCCAATGTTGTGTATAAAGTTGTGAGTAATATTTCGTATGAAGTTATTGCAAAAGACCCTATAAAAATGAAGCACTTTACCGGTTTAACGAGCATCCAGTTTGATGTTTTGTATGATTTTTTGAATGACGTTTGTCCTTTGGATAAGATCATTTATTGGAGTTGTGCAAATAAAAATGGCAAGAAAACATTCAGACGTGTTCTGTGTAAATTGCCTGAATGGTCTGCGAAGGAGAAGCTGTTCATTTGCCTGGTACGACTTAGAAGAGGATTTACAATTAAGACTTTGTCGATACTGCTTAGCTGTCCTGGTAAGGAAATTAAAGAAACGTCAATCAGGGACATATTCACTACCTTTATCCAGTTGATGCAATCATGTTTCCATCTAAAGAAGAACTTAGAAAACATACGCCAAGGGTTTTTAAATCCATCAAGAATGCAAGGTGCAGTGTTGACTGCACTGAATTCAAAGTAGAAACATCAAGAAATTTTTCAAGACAAGGAAACACATACTCATCATACAAACATGGGAATACCTTTAAATGTATGATTGCTGTCACCCCGAGTGGTGGTTCCTGTTTTGTTTCTGACCTATATGAAGGAGACATTTCAGA